CACCCCCCGTGCGCGCTCATAGGGAGTGCGTACAGTTGATCATAGTTCCTGGGCTCCCTGTGGTATACAGGCAGCAGGAGTGCACGAGTTAGGTGATATGATAGGCTGATGAAAAGAATTGAGAAAGTTTGAGAAAACTAATTTCCCTACAATTTGCATATGAATTCAAGTGTAGTTTTATAATATGCCTATGAATAAAAGTGTGATCAATACAATCTGCATGTGACTACAAGTTTAGCCTGTACAGTCTTCACAAATGTGACATGAGACCTTTTCACCATCGGAACCAATGAAGACTATTGGTGCAAAAATTTGTTTTGTTAAGTTTTTCTTTGCTTTGTGAATAATATGATCTGTTTTAGTTCTCACATTACAATTTGTAATTTTAAAATAAATAGTTCCATGGAAAATTGTAATTTCTGTGGTTTTCTATTATTAAAATTGCTGTGAATTCATGTCATGATTTGCTTATCTAATTTGGTCATTGTTATTTTGTTTATTTGGTTTAATTTGTTTTCTTTGAAATAATCCATACAATTACAATTTTTGACCATATTTCAACTGTTTATTCGTCTTTTGTTTCAATAATATTTCAGTCAAATTCGGTGGCTTGCCCTCTCTGCCTCCAAAAATTCTGCATTTTAGAAAACAACTATAAATACTGTATGCATGGAATTTTTTGATCAAATAAATGCGAAAGAGCCCCCCCCCCCCCCCATTATTTTTTATTTATTTATTTTTTTGACATCTAAATCGCGATATAAGTGAAGCTTTTGTTTTGGTGTGAAAGGGACCCAACAAAGTCGGAATTACATGGTCACTAAATTGAGGGCGCTCAATTAGACTTCGCGATATAAGTGAAGCTTTTGTTTTGGTGTGAAAGGGACCCAACAAAGTCGGAATTACATGGTCACTAAATTGAGGGCGCTCAATTAGACTTCCCGTGACGAGGGCGCACTTCGCATGTCGCCTTGGAAATTGAAGCCATATTTAAACAACGGTGATGACGTAGGTCCAAGAGGAAAGGTGTAAATACTTGTGGCCAAAATGGAAGATACAGACTCTGGCTAACGTCGTACGAGTGTCCTTACCAATATTAGAATCATGAATATTCTTTATTTCTACGCCATTGGTGTGTTACTTGTATTCTGGGGTAAGTAATGGAATATTTAAGTGACTAATGTTTGGGATTACACTAGCCGTGGTTTCGCGGCGTTTTAGTTGTACATAAACCTCTCACATACTAGTAGTTGGAATCCAGCCATTCTGAGTACAACCAATGTCTCACGATCATAGGCGGCATCTGAGTTGTACGTTGTAGCGTGGTGCTATTACTGGTACGCACCGTTACACGCGTCTGTCAGTGGTGTGAGGCACAGTCCCTCAACGAAGGGACTGTGTACGAGGGTTCCAAATACCAGTGTTTGTAGCT